CTGCGCTGGGTCCCCAGACTCACTGTGGCCGAAGCCAGGAGGAGCAGCAGCCACTCTCCCGGGGCCTCTGTAGGCAGATCCAGCGCCCAGAGGTGCCGGCAGGCAGCACGTCCTCCTGCTGCTGTCACTGTGACAGCTGCCGCCGAGGCATTCCTGAGGACTGAGCAGGCCGGGAGGACAGCGCCAGGAAGTGAATGTCACCCAACCCGTTTGAGGCCAGGAGGCTCTTGGCATTGCCCAGGGGGTTGGCAGCCGCTGGAGTCACGTGATCTGGAGGCTGCGAGGAGGGGAGCCCCTGGCTGAGGAGGAGCCCGGGGATGGGAGCTCCGACCGGCAGAGGGTCTCACAGGAGGCAGCGACCCAAGACCTTTGACGGAGGCTCCCCAGATGGGTCTTCCCATCCCAACAATAAGCCAGTCTCGTTCACAATCTTCCACTCTCTGGACTCATTTCAGTGGTCCTCCCCCCTCAACCCCCCCGCCATGCCCAGGGTGAAGGGGTCAGATCAACCCCAGGAAGGCTCTGATACCCAAAGTCACCCCCTATAATAAAAGGCTAAGATGCAAATAGACCGAATGGTGGAACAACCAGAACAACCGAACAACTGGTCACTATGACGTGCGCTGACCACCAGGGGGCATGTGCGGAACATGGCAGGTGTTGGCCGCGGTGGGATGGTGGAGCAGGTGAGCGGGGGCGCCAGACCAAGGTGGGGTGCTGGTTGCTGTCATCGGGGCAAGCCTCTGGTGGTTACTGAAAATTCTTTGCCCGGTGCCAGTCCCGATCACTTGGTGCCATCAGTGGATGCAAGCAGTGGCTTTGGGCCCTGATCACCCCTGGGGGCTTCTCTACTTCTCCCTGCTCCTGAGGGGCAATTGGGGCAGCAGCCACCGCTCCCACCCGCTGACAGCTCCGGCCCTGCTTGCACCCGCTGCTGGCGCCAGCCCCAATGCTGGCAGCTAGGGGCCATGGCGGCAGGGGCCGGGTGGGGACGTGGAGGATGGGCCGAGACCTGCCTCTGTGCCCACCGCAGCCTCACAGTCCACAGTTCCTTTCAAGGTGCACGAATTCGTGCACTGGGCCCCTAGTATACAAATATTTGGGTGATGTGCCTATGTGTAATTGCCATTCATCTAACGCTCGAAGAGGCTCTGAGCTCTAAAAGACCAAACACCACTGAGATAAAGAATAGGGCAGAGCTTTGCACAGTAGCAGTACCGTAGCCAATGAGGTTTATCCAAGGTGCAATTATTGCTAATTGAAAACTTTCCCAATACTCCACCGTGACGACGTGAAATATAGTCAGCACTGGCAATTTTTTAATGGTCTCTATGGAGACTGAAAAAAGAAGAAGAAGAAGAAAAGAAAAGAACGAGGCAGAGCCTGACCGGTGTGGTGTTCCGGTCAAGGCACATGCCTGGGTTGCGGGCTTGTCCCCAGTGGGGGGCATGCAGGAGGCAGCCAATCAATGATTCCCTCTCATCATTGACGTTTCTATCTCTCTCTTCCTCTCCCTTCCTCTCTGAAATCAATACAAATATATTTTACACACAAAAAACAAACAAACCCAGACTTATTTTTAAAAAAAAGAAAAAGAATGAGGCAGAGTAAGACCAACGAATTAGAAACGCACGTCTGCATGGCAGGAAGTCCCTGGTGTCATGTGAAAAAGAAGTAAGTTTCAGAACAGTCTGTATAATATGATTCTATTTATAGAGACGATAATAACATGATCATTTTTATAGAGACAAATCTGGAAGAAGACGCATTAAACTTGATACTAGTTATCTCTAAAAGGATGTTCTAACTTAAACATTCCTGTGACATTTGAATTTTCACTCTGAATGTGTCTTTCTTTCATGATCAGAAAAAGAAAAAAAAAATCAAGACTAAGGGTAGGAGCAAAGCCAGGCAGGCTGGAAACCATCTGGGGGGATTCTCTCCCAGTCCTCTGGGCACTG